CTTGAAAGCCTAATGTGAACACAAAATTTAAATATTTCATTGATTCAATTAGTTTCACTTCTAATATTTTATGCTTTTAATGAGTGAACTTTTCTTATAAGATGTCCTAAAGGCCAAATGTGAATATATAAAATCAAATACTCTAGTTAATTTAATGAGTGTCAGTCCAGAAAATTTATTTTTTACTTAGTGAACCTTTCTTATAATAGGCCATGTATGTTGGTGCATTTGCAAGATGTTTTGTATAATCAATGATATACATATTTTCTACTTAGTGCACTTACATGCATGATTGGCAGTACACGTACATGCCACTTAATGTATTCAAATAATATGCTTGTATGTCTTTGGTACACACACATTATACAACTAGGAGCTCATAAGCGACACCCCATTTCAATGATTTTGCTTGCTAAATGCACTTTGATGATGGGCCATACAAGCCGTGACATGTAACAATGTGCTATTTTATTTATTTATTTCAAATAAAAGTATTCATGGGGTGTACGACATATTTAATAAGCACATACAAGTCTTTTGACTTTAACAACTAATGTGTATGCTACTACCTAGGGCACCTATGCTGACTTCTAATATGATTGAAGATCTTATTTTTAAAAGGATTATTTAATTATGATAATTATAAGGGATATACAAAGGAATCCTACATGGTAGCCATTAATGTAAATACACTACTATAGGAACATAATTTGTTTAAACATTTTTTGAGTAATTATTATGTATATTTAGTTGTATTTACACTTGTATTTTACTCACTAGAAAATACTTATGGAATTCAATATATAAACCTTAAAAAGGGAGCTTCACATATTTTAAATATGGATCCTAGGCTAGTGTGGTCCTTAAGCATACCTTTTATGTCATTCAATAATAAGATCTTAGATTTGTGTGGCCCACAAGCATACCTTTATATTATTTAATAATAGGATCCTAGACTTATGAGGCCCACAAGTGCTTTGAATTTCAAGTTATAAATAGGAGGGAAAGCTTAGTTTATTTTTCACATTCCATTTTGCAAGGCGAGTGTTGCTAGGAGATTTAGGTGTGCACGAGTGAGTTAGGGGCTAAGGGGGAAGTTTTAGTACATGTCTATGCTTATTAGTGAGCAAGCAGTTTTTTAGAAGTGAACTATAAGTCCTATTTGTTTCATTTTAGTTCTCAATTTTTTTTTAATTTTTAGTGTTTAGAACTTAGGGTTTTATGCTTTTTTTGTATGCTTAAGAGTTAGATTAGAATTGAAATCACCTAAATTCAATTTAAATCATTTATTTTGATGTAAATTTTGGTAGCACTCTAGCATCACCTCTATGTAGGGGGCTGCAATGGGGTGTTAAGCCTTTCCACCACACCAAAAAAGACGTGCATGTTCAGTGTCAGGTAATACCATAGCTGAAATATTCAATCCATGTATACCAAGAAAGGTAGCCACAAGTCTTCATGTACCTATTTATAAATCACAATCTTTCTCTCCTACCAAGTAAGGCTATCACATGTATTATAATTTTCATGCAACATATTATTTTCCCAACATATCAAGAAAGGAAATCATGTATACTTAGTTTAATGCAAAGCAATATTTCCTCCCTTGCCTAAGGATGTCACATCCATTTAGATTTTTCATGCAATATATTATTTTCCCACTTGTCAAGATGCAATCATGAGTACTTACTTTCTTATTCATAATAGTTCATAAAATAAAACCAGTGATAGGTCAGGCTTATACCTCAAAGTGCCCAATGACCCAAGAGACGATGGTGTTGATGACAACACCTACTATGCATGAATTATTTTATTTTATTTATATTATTTCAAACATTATATATATGGATATATTATATTTTTAGTGAAATAGGGCAGCTAGAGATTCATGTCATGATTATTTGATAATTCTTATAATAGCTGTCGACTTCCTAATGTAACCCTCAACTTTTTTCATCCAAGACTTGGGACTTGGAAATGGCAATATTTATGATATTTATTAACTTAGAGAAAGCATACGATAAACTTTCAAGAGAAGTGCTATGGAGAGTTATAGAAAAGAAAGGGGTTAATAATTCTTATATTCAAGTTATTATGGATATGTATGCATGAGCTGTTACTTTTGTTCAAACCCAAGGTGGTTTGACTAAGTATTTTTCTATTTTAGTTTCACATCAAAGATCAGCCTTAAGCCCTTATCTTTTTTTCTTTATTCATGGATGTTATCATTAAATATTTGCAAGAGGATGTACCTTTGTCTTTTTTTTAATGATATTCTTCTTGTTGATAATATTACAAAGGGAGATGAAGGTAAACCTGAATTATGGAGGTAAACCATAGAGTCTAAAGGTTTTTGTTTGAATAGATCTAAAACTGAATACATGGAGTGTAATTTTAGAAGTAATAGATCTAATGGGGGGTTTGTGACTTTAAGCGATCAAGCCATTAATAAGTGTACTCATTTTAGATATTTGGGTTTATTGTTGATAGTGATGGCGAAATATGAAAGTTCGTTAGGGATGTTAAGCCCTATAGAACTGGCCCAAGGCTAACCAAGAGGGGGGGTCTTCTCATGTCAAAGACAGCAGCCAAGGATGTTCAAAAATGTTGAACAAGAGCTCTTAAATATAAGAGCTTCAAAGGATCTCATTAATTGCAAGTTGCCGACAATATCGTCCTGGTCGATCAGTACAAATCCCATGAGATCGGCCAAAGCATCGTCCTTAATGCAAACTGGACGATTGAAAATTAGCTTGATCGTCCAGGCCGATCAGTTCAAATCAGAGGAAAATCGTCCTGAGCATCGCTCTGAATTCAAGCTGTCTTATCCCGATCGTCCAGCACATCGCCTTGAATTTGTGCTGGCCGATATTTATCATCCAGAAGTAACTAAGGTTTTTGAATAGATCGTCCTGCCCGATCCTGCAATCGTCTAGGATGATGTGATCGTATCAATCATCCTTAATTACTTCCTTGATTTGTCTGATTAATTAAGGCATAAATATGAATATCGTCCAGGCCGATCCAAGATCGTCCTTGTCGATTTCCAAAAATACAGAATACCTTAATTGTTTATGGCAGCAATTTCTTTCTATTTTGATCATATCATCCTGGCCAATACACATATCATCCAGGCCGATTTGCTAATGACGGCTGCCTTAATTAAGAACCCCTGATTAAATTTTCTATTTTAAGCCCAATCATCCAGGACGATGTAAATATCGTCCTGGCCAATTTGAGTAAAAACAAATATTCTAAGTCTCTCAAGTGTGTGTGTGTGTAGAGTTACTTTGCATTAGTCACACCAAATATTACAATTGACTCAAGAGGAGAAAAATAAAATTACAGACTGACTCAACCCTAATCTACCCCATCTTGAGCTGGCTCCATTTTTCCGTCCGATCTTTGTTTTCTGAAAGGTCGGTAGTAAAAGACAGTCCAAGTCAAGTATGAGTGTTTGCCAATCATCAAAATATAGTTTATAGACCTGAATTTGCAACAATCTTTCCCTTTTTGATGATGGCAAAACACTACGACAAAAATTTAAAAAACAGCAGTGTAACATATGGAATTGAAAGTGCAAAAATATCCTAAAACTACTCCCCCTTTTGACATCTCAAAAAGGAGGAAACCATGAACTAAAGCAAACCATAAGATCCCTTTTTTTTTAATTAAGGCATGATGATGATGTAGTATTCCATGTGCTTGATTTTAAAAATTCGTGAGTTAATGAATTAACAGCATCAATAATTCAAAGAACAGTAGAATATTCGATCATGATTACCCTTAGCTCGGACTTTCTCTTAGGGTAGAATCATCTTTAGAAATCAATGACCTAACTCAAAGAATCAATTGGATATGAGGAAAAAGAATCCATTCACACTTGGTTTAAGAAAAAATATCTTATAGAATAATGACCCAAAGTAAATTTGTCACAATCGAAATCAAGCCTTTGATACATTAAAACTTCTAAGTTTTAAAAGATTTGAAAGGAGAGAGGAGCTTGATTTTTAGTGGGCTCATTTTATGCCTCTTTTCAATTAATTGGTGCTTGTGCACATCTTTTGCTTTTTTATATATAATTTTTTAATTTGGCGTCATTGCGCACCTTTTGTTGGCATCATTGGCCAATTTTTTTTTATTTTTGCAAGCTCCATTCTCTTTTACAGCTCTTAAAAAGTTCTTAGTTGTGAGTATATCTTCTAGATATTAGAGAATAGTAGCTCTCTCTCTAACATAGAGAAGAATTAACCACAAAATAGAATCAATTAACCAATGACAAGAGTAACGAGGAATCTTGATGTGACAAAAAGACTTTAAGCATTATAAATTTAGAAAGGATCTAAATTTCATACACAAACTTTAATTTGAAATAGATTTTTGATTAGAAAAGAAAACTATCCCACTAAAATAGGTTAGAGAAGGATACACAATCAACGAAATATTCTTACCATCTAACAGATTAAGAGATGTAAAACATTTACTATAAATTCTCAAAAGCAAAGACAAGGCATACAATATCATATCATCGATGATTTTTGAAGGCTAAAAAGCAATAAAAAGAAAGCAATCCAAATAAAACAAAAAAACAAAAAGGAAAAGAAAAACAAAGTGCAAAGAGGAAAAATAATTAAAAATCAAATAAAGCAACTAGAAGATTAAGTTTATGCAGTTATGTCAATCACACC